TGTGCGGCAGTCGTCCGTGAGGGGCTGTCGCTTTACTTTTGTGTTTGTTTATTTTGTTATTAAAGTTATGTTTAAATTGTCGTCGGTTCCCGCCTCCTTCTTCCTGATCTCTGACTTTGTTACATTGGTGCCGAAACCCGGGAGGAAAGAGGGACACGCTGTCAGAGAGCCCTCGCTGCTGAGGGGGATCGCGGTGCTGAGGAGATCGGGCAGCAGGAAGGAGCGGAGACCGCCAGTGGCTGCCCTAGGCGGTGGTGCTGGAACGATGGAAGACGAGGTTGGACGGAGGGCTCGCTGCCGCACTCCTAGGCCGAGAAGGGGTGGCTGCCGTCCAAGAGGGAGCGGAGGAGTCGGCGCCATTCCCACTGCACTCGGCCCTGCCCCACTCATCACAAACAGCATTTATTTGAAATAGTATACATTTCAAGTGTACATTTCATAATAATAATAATAATAATAATGTCATTAATCAAATGCCAGAATCAAGTTTAGAAATGTCAATTTTTAGGCTTAATATCTTACATATGATCTTAGAAGAATATCTTTATTGTGTGTCATATTTTTATACAGCAAATTCAACAAGGACTTTACATCACACTCTCTTGTCTCCATGTTGTCTTGTTTTGGTGCATAAATCTGTAATGTGGTGTTTGGGTTTTGTCTTGTTCATGTTTCCATTTTGTTCTTGTCATGTGACCCTCTTGTTTCCTATAAGTAGCCATCATGTTGCCATTGTCTGTCGTCGTGTATTGAATGTATTTATCCCGCTGTTGGTGAGTCTAGTCTGTTCATGCCACGTCAAGTCTGTTCATGTCAAGTCAAGTCTCGGATTATTGTTTGGATGTTTGATCACACTGTAAATAAACTGCACTTGGGTTCTTAACTACGCTCGCCTTCAGTGGATGATTCATTACAGAATCTTTGTAGTTTGTAACAAGAATTCAATAGTGGTTCATACTCAGAATTCAGGAAAACTTTATTAATATCATCTTCCATGCCTAACATTTTCCTGGATTTTGAGTGTGAATCACTACTGAATTCATTTTTTTAAACAAAATGTCACTGTCTCACATAATATCAAACATCCACAACAACGTTATACCAACATCTATTGCCAGAAGAAGACTGTTTTAAAACTTAAAAGATAACAAAAGAGCATAGCAAGAAATAATTAATAATTCTGTGCTACTGTTGGAAATCAGTGTAGATTTAATCTTCCAGGTGTTCTGGGATTTTTGGTTTCACTGTGCAAATGGAACCTTAAAAGGATAGTTCACCCTTAAAGGGATAGTTCACCCAAAAATGAACATTTGATGTTTATCTGCTTACCCCCAGGGCATCCAAGATGTATGTGACTTTGTTTCTTCAGTAGAACACATTTGATGATTTTTAACTCCAACCGTTGCAGTCTATCAGTCGTATAATGCATGGCAATGGTAACAAAGTCTATGAGAGGTAAAAAAAACATGCACAGACAAATCCAAATTAAACCCTGCGGCTCGTGACGACACATTGATGTCCTAAGACACGAAATGATCTGTTTGTGCCAGAAACCGAACCGAAGTTAGGATAGCAAAATAAAGTAAACTGTGACATATTATACCCCAAAATTCTTCATCTAGTGGACTACCAATAAAATTGATAAAAATTTGGGACCAAAAATTACTTTGACCTCACCATGTTTTGCTTAAGTGTTATCTGACATTATCAAGATGAATTTGTTCTGACACAGTTTAACTCTGAGTTCTTGTCATATTTTATTATCATTTTCTAAACTATAGCAAATAAACTGTGATAATGTGTGAAATGTTGAAGGTGTCTGAATAAATTTTGGTTTGACTGTACATTTTAGGAATAAATTATGGGTAGGGTTTGGTTTAGGGGTAGGGATTGGGTTAGGTATATTTTTGCACAGTAATGTTGATCCAGGATCATGTCTTACTTGTCAAAATCACAGAAACTGAAAATCTCGTAACACCTAGAGAGTTACGCTGAACAGGAATCGGCCCAGTGCTTTACAGCCATAACAAAAAGTGTCAGAGCAAGCTGCAGGCCACACTCGGCCTGGATAATGTATGCCGATGCCGAGTCTGAGCTGCAGGCGCCGTGGGGCAGCTGAGCTCGGGCCGATTACTAGCTACATGCTATCTGGGATATGTTATTCTTGATGCTTCTCTTCTGCACTGCATCGTCCTGTATGGAATGACAAAAAAGTAGGCTATATTAAGTAATTTTTTTAGGCTGGACTGCTTCAGCAGTCTACAGCCTTGTTTAGACAGTCAGTCCAAATCCAATTATTTGTGGATCCGACTGGAATCTGATTTAAATGATTGACTGTCTGCACTGTATATCGCAACTGTTCAGATCCGATTTGTGTGTCCCGTGGGGCTCTTTCATTTTACTGAATTTCTGCATTGGTTTCTATGGCAATGACGTTGAGTTAGCATGCATGCCTGTGCTAAAAATTCAATTCAATTCAAGTTTATTTGTATAGCGCTTTTCACGATACAAATCGTTGCAAAGCAGCTTTACAGAAAATTACATTTCTACAATATATATGTAGTAGCTTGTCAGTGGTGACTATGTCAAACTGATGTACATATGGCAGAAATCTATGGTAAAATTCAGTTACTGACGTAATCAAACGACGATGAACACTATTTCAGCAATGATTATATGTTGCAATCAAACTTGTAGCAAAATTTGGTAGTTTATGTTGTTTCAGGGTTGGCATCATCTGAGGTCCTCTGAGAGGTTTGCTTCATCTCTTCTCAGGTGTTCGGTCATCTCAGGTCTTTGTAAGGGCTGGATCCAGACTGAAGCTTGTGTAATTCCTAATTACCATGGGATGTCAATCCCGTGGCAGAAACCGAGAAACAAATAGAGACATAATTAGCGTAGCTACTGTCCCAACCAAGCAAAAATTATGTGTTCAACCCAAGCTAAGGAATAATAATGTGTAGCCTGCCCTTGAATACCTGTATAGTTTTGTAAACAATCAATGAGTATGTCATGATCTATAGTGTCGAACGCAGCACTAAGATCAAGTAAAACTAGCATTGAGATGAAGCCTTGGCCAAAAACAATGGCAATACAATTTGCAATGCAGATGTTGTACAACATGACGGCATGAAAAGTAGGAAGCTGATTATTTTCTACAGTTGTTTTTATTTATTTATTTATTTTTTATTATTTCTTTATTTTGTGAGACATTTCAATTAATTTTGAAGTCACATGCTTTTTGAAGGTCTTCAAGTGCTTTATAAGTAGTCACATGCTTTTCTTTGTCCGCCCTTTTCACCCTCTAAATTCAGTATTGCTTGGAGTAAGCCATTTAAAATAGAAGCTCACATTGCCTGGACTGAAAATATATATTTTATATGTGTTCCTTTGTGTGTTCTTTTATGTAAGCCTGTAGCCTATATATATTATGATCAAATAAATATATGAAACTTTATTAACAAAATATATGAGTTCCAATAAGACTTGATTCAATTTGAGCTCTGCTTGTATGTCCAGATCAAACAGAGTCCACTGAGACAGCATAAAGAGAAAGGAGAGAAAGGAAAGTCTTTGGTGAGGTGTGAATTCCCACCTTGATTCATTAATGAAGGATCGAAGGATTGTCAATATAGTTTTAAATAAGGATTGTCAACCTGTGTGTGGTGGTTCAAGAGAGCAACCATAAGATTATTATTTCATTTAATCATTTAATTATTTATAATAATCGTTTTAACCATACTCATTTCATTGACTCATTCATTGATTAGTAATTTATATTATTATATTTTATGTTATTTTTCCATTGTTGTTTAATCTTATGATTGTGTGGTTTCAATATTTGTGTCTCCATTTCAAAGTTTTTAACATCACAGGACGATGCTGTGAAGCTGTAATTTTCCTTTGATTGTGGTATAATAACTGTTGTTGGATTTGTGCTGGTCTGATGAAGATTGAGCAACTATGATTGTGACTATGATTATTCAATAAACTCTAAAACTTTTTTATTATCATCATCACTTCATCTCCTGCTTCTGCTCTTCACTGGCTTGGTCAACTTCTTGGCTGATAGAACACTGTTAATACAGTTTTGGGTACCAGACAAACGACTGGTTTGGGGTACCAGACAAGACGGGTTTTGAGTATTAGACAACTTTGCTGACTATAGATGTTTGGATATGGGACAAAATGGATATTTTCTGACAGGAACTGGTGTCCCGGGCTGGATATATTATATTTCTGGAAACATTGTTATTTTTCAGTGCAGTATGGATATTCTCAGCTTCTGTGAACATTATCCAAACGTTCTATTTTGGTAATTCTAAAACTGTGAAAATGTCCAGTTTGCCTAATGTTAGTGGAACATTATTTTAAGGGTAGTATAATGTTTCTGTAACATTCTTTCAACGTAATTTCAAACAACACAACATTATAGAAATATTTGGAACATTCTAAGAACATAAAAATGTCTGGTTTAATAATTTTAATAGAACATTATTTTAACGTTAGCATAATGTTCCTGAAATGCTCTTTTAATGCGTTCCTTTCAGCAGCTATAACGGCTTATTATTACAAATACTATCATTAGCATTGTAGCAAATAAAATAGAGAGCGTTCATGGCAAATCCAGGTTAAATCTTCAGGCTAATATGTGCACTCTGTTTTGACATAAATGTGGTATCTTGAAACGGTTTAAAGGCATTTCAGTGACCTTTCAAGAGACTTATTTTAAGGGCACTTAAAGTGAAAGCACCAAGTGTCCGTCTATCTCATTCACAATTGAATAGATCAAGCACACCAAGCAAAGGTCATTTACTTCAAAGAGAATCCTGAAAATCTTCTAAATCAATGATTTTATTTCCCTTTTCTTATTCTTTCAGTTCAGTGTTTTAACAAAGAAAGAAAGAAAGAAACATACAAACACTTAATAAGAGAAAGACAGAGAAATAGATTTTTGAGAACCTCAAAGGATGAACAGACACACAATCAAACAGACTACATACATTTCTGAATCTTTATTTAAGTTACTATATAAATAAAGGGAGGGTTAAAGATATTACATCATGAACACTTGTAGCACCATTTTGGAGACAAATCCAGCGCTGACAGGGAGAATATTTGACCTAATGTTTATTCAGCAGTATTTCAGAAACAGTACATACAGGAAGAGTCTATGAGACACGAAACAATGAACATTATTAAGACATGTGAGAAACATCACAGAAATAAAAATCAGCTGAATAAACTCCTCCTCACTCTTTCAGAATTCCTTATCATTTCTCACATAATCCCTCATACACTTTCAGGTTTCCTTCCACCGGTTTCATACCCTTTATGCTCCCAGTGACTGTCCTAGATTTCTGCACATCTGTTATTTAAATATTAATCCTTCGCCTGGTAATTACATGAGACCTTTCTAAAATAACATCAAAATTGCAGACGTAATGACGCAGACAACATGTACAGGCTGTTTTAACACACATAGTGCAGTGGAACATCTGAGGGCATACAATTCAAGCATCAGATATGCTTAGAATCTATACCTTATTCCACAAAATCATGTTTTTAGTCTTTGATTAATAATTTTAAGGCATGTTTCTAATAAAAGAGCTAAAAAATTACTGAAATAAATCACATTTTATATTAGGGAAATGTTAATTGGTCATCATTTTTTCATGTTGTTCTTGGTACAAAGGAAATAACCAATATATAACACAACACAAGGACCACAATTAACGCAAATATCCACAAATACACTGCACATCACTGAGGCTGAACATTGATCTCAACCATGGAGTCTTCTTCACTGTAGAACAAGGACTAATGTCACACATCAAATGCTCGATAGCACACAAGCAGCCCACTGTGTAAGATGCATCTGAGGTGAATTCAGAATTATAAAATAATGGGGTCTTGATGGCCATTATATCTTACTTTAATGTTTAATGGTTCAAACAGAGAAATAGTCTGTCTAGTTCGGTCAATTAAGACTCATAATCAAACCTCTTGGTTAATCTGCATTTCTGAGGGATGGTGATCCTCTTGGACATTTTCTAACTAAATTTTGGAGGGAGACTTCCAATATAGCAACTAGACGTTTAACTATCACATCTCCTGACCATTGACAATTATTGCAGCAGTTTTGCACACATACAGTTCACACATGCTTATAAAACCCTGCAGGCATGTAACAACAGATACTTGGATTGTATCTCTATCTTGGAAGCGAAGATGGCCAATGTTAGTCTGTTAAACTTGCTGCGACTTGTGAATCTAAAGGGCAGAGATCCTCCCTCTCAAGTTTTTGCTTTTCATCCGTTTCACTCTCTTCCATCTTGGTGTTTTTCTGGTCGGACAAGGGCTCAGAAGATGGTGCTCCAGCGTTTGGGTGGAGAGCGAGATCGGCTTTCTCCCTGAGATTGGAGAGAAAATGATCATTGTATGGTCATTGTCATGTCAATTGCGTAACACGAAACCTTCTCAACACTGGTGTTGGATTAAGCAAGGTCAAAATCAATGTTAGTTCTGAAACATATTACAAAAGAATAAATGCTGAAGCTTGCACAGAAATAGCACAGAGCATCAGCAGAATGGGTGAAGGACCATATGTTCAATGTCAAAACTAGTGAATTTAATGACAAAAATGACAATGTTGAGTAATCCATATTGAAGAAGTATTTCTAAAAGAGTGATCTGAGCACTCAGCGTTTTAGTTCTACAGCACAATGGATGTGGAAAGCCATTCTGATTTGATTGTGTCCTCTGTTCAGAAGAGATTGTCATGTGAAAAATGCAAAAGGGAGAAAAGGAAATTAGGCAAAAGAGCAGATGAGGTAGATGATTTGAGCTAAACGCGAACATCAGTGTCATACTGCTTGAATGTCACACTTAAAACGTTAAAAAAGTACTTGTTTAAAAATAATATGGAACAGATACTTGCAAATATATACATGTATAAATATACTACCATTCAAATGCTTGGGGTCAGTAAGCTTGTTTGTTTGTTGATTTATTTATACATATGTTTATTTATTTATATTTGCATTTAGCAAGGATGCCTTAAATTGATTAAAAGTGACATTTATAATGCTACAAAAGATTACTATTTCAAATACATGCTGTTCTTTTGACTTATATTCATCATGATTTCAACATTAATAATAAAAAATGTTTCTTGAGCACCAAAACAGCATATTAAAATGATTTCTGAAGGATCATGTGACACTGAAGACTGGAGTAATGGCTGCTGAAAAATTCAGCTTTGTCATCACAGCCAAAAAATACATTTTTAAAATATTAAAATAGAAAACAGTTATTTTAAATTGTAATAATATTCCACAGTATTACTGTTTTTTACTGTATTTTTTTATATCAAATAATGCTTTGTGAGCATAAAAGATATTTTTCAAAAACATTTGAACAACTTTTGAATGGTAGTTTATATATACACATATAATACATACATACATACATACATGTATACATATACATATATACTCATTGTGAACTGTTTTTATCAGTGACCTATTTTCCTATTTTCATTGTTTCCATATAATGAAAATGAATGGTGACCATGGCTGTCAAGCAAATAATATATATATTTTTTTTTTGGTCCTTATATTTATTTGTCTTGGTCCCCATCCGCTTTCGTTGTATGGAAAAAAGCACCTCAGACGTGATGATTAACATCTTTACTTTCCATGGATGAAAGAAAGTCAGAAGGTTTGGAAAGACATAAAGATAAGTGAATGATGGCAGAATTTTCACTTTAATGTGAACGATTCTTTTTAGGAGCAGGTGATATTCCTTAATCCAAGATTGGTCTATCGAAGCGATATCCCAATTCGTCGGTCACGACGTGACTCGTAGTGACCGACTGAAAGGGAACAAATGTTACTGGCAATCAATGAGAATAAGCATGAAGAGATGTGAATATTTGCCCTGCACCTGGCAAAAGTTCAAAATGCTTATGACTGCTCAATGACTGACTGAACATAAGCAAGATTGAGGCACACAGAAAGACTCAACTTTGACTGTAAAATTGAAACAGATGAGACGGGCTTTCTTTATAACCTAAATAAATATTGATTTTTGAAAAGCTTAAGTGAATTCAAGACCTTCAATGACTGCTGAAAGATTGCACAGCCCTCACTGACAGGATAGGTGTCATTACTTTAGTGAGGGATGAATATTATTGGACTTGCATACTGAAGGTGACTCTGGGTCAGAAACAGAAGCAGTCGATAGACTTATCAAGGACATTCTCATTCACTTTTTCACATGCCTCTTCAAGCACAGAAAGATAGTTCTAGATGGTTTCAAAGCAATAATCTATGCAACATCTCATTATCAAACATTTTTGAAATTGCTTTCTTTGTAGGCATTTGCATAAAGAAGCATCAATCAACTGTAATTGCGCTTAAATGAGAATAACCTTTTTTAAATAGCTAACTTTACAACTTAAATATGTATGATAGTCTTCTCAGAGAGTCGTTTTCTGCTGTTTTAGGCTCACCAGGTTGAAGATTCTGGAGAGTGTGTTCTGTTCCCTTCTGCGTCTGTGAGGCGATCTAATGCTCTCCGAGCCACGCGTTGACGGGGAAGCCTAAAACACATAGCTTATGAACACAAAGAGGATACCAGCCCACTGCTGTTTACTGACATACTATAAATATGTTTTTCTTTGTGATGTTATTTCAAACTGTGAATCAAAAAAAGTTCTAGTGTTTCTAATGTGCAGTATACATTCTGTGCTAAATGCATCAGTGCATTTCTGCTCCAATGTCTACAAATGAAGAGTGCAATAGGAGGCTGCAGCATAGAGAATGTTACATGTTTGCTACACATCAAGTATTATAGGAGGGGGTGATTTAGAGATGGCAAGAGTGCAGCATAGGAGGATAATCATAACACAGGTTATTTACATATTTTGATCTACAATAGGAATTGTTCTGCACAAAACAGTTTTGCCAGCCAAAGAAAAACGCTTTTTGTGTCAGTTATTAATGTCCAAATACATTCAATGATGCATGCCTGTATGTATTTGAGCCTGTGGAGTTAAACATCACGTGGAAAAAAAAAACACAGGGGGCACTGGTGAGTCAGTGAATCAAGACCTGGTAAAGGAGTAGATGGGTTGGAGAGTGAGTTTATGGGGGGAGTGAACAGTTTGAAGACCCCTAGAGAGAAAGCTGCTTTACCGGCTGCGACTCAGAAAAAGCCTTGCTGTTTCAAAGTCATCAAGAAGCAGAGAGTCGCTCTGGTTCAGGAGAAATTCCATCAGAAAAGAAAGACGCAACAATCAAGGCAAAAAAATATACAGTAGGTAGAAAAAGAAAGAAAGAAAGAAAGGAACTGAAAAACAAGCAAAAACATGAAAACACTAATAATGTTCTAATCATTTCAGTGCCTGAGATCACTCTTTTATGTACTATATCACAGCTAAAAGCTGTGGAAATTCATAATCACATGAAAGATTAAGAACAGATTTCTTAAATAATGCCTATTTTAATGCATTTTGGCATCACAGAATGTGTTCTACATTGAAATTATGCATATGTAATCTTATGAGAGTGTGCCTTAATAAGTACAATAATTGTATTGAAAGCATTAAATGTGGCTAAATTGAAAGCACAATTCAATAATGCTTAATAAACTCCACTAAAAATGGCATGGGCCTAAACGTCATGGCCCTCCACAAAACAAAATTTTGATTAATCTGGAGATTTGTGGAAAATGAACCCATTCAACCTGTAAATCATCCAATCTCATAGGTTAACGAGAAGATCGCATGAAGCACAGTAAAAAGTTCAGCAGCTGTAATTAGAGCGATGCATTGGTTAATTCACAAAGAAGAGAACAAATGATTAAGTAACGCGACAGATCTATTAGAAGTGAGACAGGACAAGAAGACTTCCTGCAATCAGCCAGTCAGATCTGTTCATGAGGGTGTCTGTGAATGCAATCGTGAATCATGTCAAGGATAAGTGACATACCAGACCCAACAGTTCTCTCCACTGCACATGAAAAAAAAATGAAAAAAAAACGTAGACTCGTTAATTTTCTTCTTAGATGAATTTCTAATTTCATTGCTGGATATGAGAGGGCATAGAAAATGATTATGGGTCAAATCTATTCTATCTGCTAGGAACAAGCTCTATTATTAATTTAAGAGGGTGGTGGTAACCTTATGGTTAGAGGTAATTGTTGACTAATAGAGTGTTACGAATATCACATTCTTGCTCTGTCACTATTTATACCCTAGGCAAAGCACTTTTTACTGCAGATTTTCACTGCAAATTTTCTTGAAATAACTAAAAATGCATATACAAAGACCATTTTAAACAATGGGATTAGATACATGCCAGTAGAAAAATGGGATGTAAGACTTACCCTCGACTTGGGACGAGGAGAAGACACCTTCAAGGAAACAAATAGAAACTTTTAGTCAAGGAACATTTTAAGCATTCAAAAGGCACAGGCACAGCTTTTAATTTAGAGGCCTGACTGTTATAAAGAGACGTTGCGTTATCCAGTGTGATGCATACAAGATAAGTAATCCTTGAACAAAGACTTTTCATTTTAAAGATGGGGTCGATCATTAGGCTTCCTTGCAGTTCAGATGATTAATGACGGCAGAGACTGTATCTTTTTAATGAACAAGCCCACGGACCTGAGGAACAACTGTGCAATTAGTGCTGGCCAGAATAGCATTTTTAATTTAGGACTTGAATAATGGGAAAACGTTAACACTCATATCTAGTTTCCAAAGAACTGATTTTGTGTTTTCAGGGGAATATTCAAGAAAATGAGTAATGAGATATGCTGGTTTGAAGTCAAATCATGTCATCTGAAAGTGGAATTTAATATTTACATATCACATCTTACATCACGAAAAAAAAAAAGGTGATGTTAAAGCAGAATGATAATTTCAAATAAAATGCTAAACATGCTCTGTCCGGTAAATTTCCACACATACAAGATTATATTCTCATCTTTTCATCTGAAACAGTGACTTTCGACGAGTGACTCAAACAAGAGAAACTAACACTAGTGATGTAAGTGTGTGTAATGTTTTCTGTCTCACACAAAAACAAGTCTGGATATTGTAGCAAAGAAAACACAGGCTGCATGTTGAACATGACGACAAACTTGGCGTGCGAACTTAGACAGCAAATGGCCAGACACAATGTGGCAGGTCTAGTACGGAAGCTTGTCTTTGGCATATTGAATTTTGGTTAAAAAAGCATGCTTTTCAATAGTCTTCATCAAATATATATGCTCTTCTAATATATTTGCGCCAGTTGAGGTAATGTTTTCCTGCTGCTCAGTGCTTTGAGAGTGGTAGGAAACTCTTTGGATCAGAGGGAGCTAAAGATGAGAGCAAGGGAGGTGTGAAACTTTCATTCTCATGTCTTGTGAGGAACTGATTTCTTTTCTAGGGCTGCAATTGTTGGTTTCACATCACTCTTTGAAGTTTGGCACTTAAACATCCATGTCAGCACATGTGGATACTTACAAAGCTCCTGAAGAAATGCACCACAGGGTTGACATCTCCACGACGACGGGTGGAAGAGTGCTGGGGTCTCTGTGGAGAGGAGGATAGATGACCACGAAATGAGCCCTTCAAATAAATGAAAGAGAAATGTCTAAATGTAATCTAAATTTACATTTGCACTCAAATTGACATGCTCTGAACATTAAAATGAGAATGCAACAAAGAGGTATGAGTGTCAATAGTATAAAGCTCTACCTAGAGGCAGTAATTGAATCGCACTTTACCAGCAGAACAGCAAACCGCTATAATGATATCACTTGCACTGCAAACAGCTGTGCCCAAAGCTTCTTAATGCTGTGAAAATTCAGTTGTTTTTACATCTGAGCCATTTTGCCATCACTGATTGCTGCTGAAGCCAAATAAATAAATAAAGAAATAAACACCCATAAATGTAATCAGTTGCTAAAGCAGACTGAACAGTGTTTGAACATTCATCTTGGAAGAAACATTGTTTTGAACCAGATTCAGCTATTTGTTCAACATCAGCAGGATTTAAGACCCAGTTCTTCAATTGCTTCATGAAATTAAACTTGGGGAATCAACCTCTTATCTGGTAAAATGACTGGAAAGGTTGTACAAAAAAAAAAATCATATAAAAATCAATACTCAATATATTTCACTGATATGCACATTGACTTTAAATTTAGCTTAAAAATAGTACATTATTCATAAATATAGATTGTATTTGGTTTAAATAAACAGAACCTCAAATACTAGGACTTCAATTATGAGCGATACTCACGTACACTATGGCAAACTGCATTCACATAGCAGAATACCATCATGCATATCAACCAATATGCAAAACAGAGCATAACATTGTTTTTTGCAGATGTTAAATGAGACTCTATAATCAGAATATAGTCAAACTATTTGCAGTGCAGAGTTATTTGAATTTGAGTATTTCTCCTAAGTACTTGTTTATCTGTAAACCACATCCAATCCAATGTGACACAAATGCAATCACCTAAACTATATTCAAATTGTGTATATTCAAATATATGTAATTGAGAAGTTGTCGTTGACCACGACAATGTTTGGAAAACAAGTAAAAAAAAACAAAAAAAAAACTGACTCACCTTTCCCTTTCTCTTTTTGTCTCCTCCAAAGAACCTGCCAATCTGATCCAGGAGACCAGGGGCCCTCTTCTTCCTGCCCAGCCCAAAGGGACTTTGTCCAGAGGTGCTTGCAGTGGCCATTCTAGGTGTTGATCTGTTTGGTGGTCTACAGTCTGGACGGCCCACGAATGTCCTTCTCCACTCAATCCAAAGTCCGCTCTGGGGACACTCTGCAAACCTTCTCGATAGTCTTCGGCGCTTCTAAGGAAGAAGGGCTGGCCTTTGAAGGTGTCGTCCCCTCCGTTGCATGGCATTACGGGAGATGAGGTGCGTCTCTAATAGCGTCAGTGATTCTGGGCCGGTGCCAGGCATTCTTTCGAGCCCTTGTGTGCCTGCGTAGGGTGTCACTACCCTGCTCTCTGATAAAAGGAGCTGCTATTGTTCTAGTCCACATCTGCCTCAACTTGGGCCGAGCACAACAAGGCCTGTCTATCAGAAAGAACTAGAGCGCAGTGAAGAACAGCTTCAGCACAATCAAACCATTGTGTGGTGACTCATGTTCATTATATAAATACTTTACATTGAGAAATTACATATGGTATATTGCACTGTATAGGATTTGGAATGGTTAGCTTCAGACAAATGTTGCCATGTGGTTTATCATACTGTATCAATGAAATGTCTCCAGAAGTTTAAACAACACAGACACACCCTGATGATGTCATGCTACGGTTGAAACATGCCTTCTATTATTTCATGAATATTTATTTCAAAATGCTGTGAACTAGTTCTTGGACTGATTTCTTGAAGTAAGTGTTGCAATTTGTGTCCTGGATAAATGGTGCAATCTGCACTTGCCCTCTTGCTCTGTTCCCTTCCCATCTTGAAATATCCACAAATGAATTCATTTTCAATGACTCTGCAATTCATTAACCAACCACTGTTTGTGATACTCAGCATGGTGCCCACTGTGCTTTTCAGAGAAACATTATGAACACATGGACAAATCTATCTCTGTTGAGGGTAAAGTGCTGCTAAAAATGCTGTTTTTTCTGCTTTTTTCAAACAATTGACAGTTGTTTGTGTGGTTTGGCCAAAGAACAAAGGCTACAGTGTTTTGTTGTAAAACATGTTGCTTTTATTATGTATTCATTCATTTTTTGAAATGTATTCTCTTTTTGTTTTTGTTGTACTATCTGTTCCCAAAAACATCAAAATTTCTGATCATATGAATGAAGGCTTTTCCTTCACTATGATCACCCAGATGTGAGGCTGCAATTTCATTTGTCCTCAAGATGTTTTCCACAAGGTCATTAGTAGAGGAAATTCATTCCTGTACTAGAGATACAGCAATACTACTGAGCAACTAGGCATAAGCTAAAATAATGAGGCATATAACAAATAGCTCAGGGGAGAAAAAAAGCAAAAAACGGTGTAGCAGAAATGAGTCCGTAAACACATCCAGTCGATTGAATATACAATCAAATCTAGACCTGCAGCAATTTTAAAAATATGTTATATGATTCCAAATGGAAATCTGAAACTATAGAGGTTTTGAACGAATCACATGTATTTGAAATAAAACGTTAAAACACTTTACTCTTTATGACTTTTATTTCTAAAATGCAGCTTAAAGATGGTTTAATTGCACATTTCTTCCTCAATGCTAAAATATATTTTAAAATCTAAGAAATAGACAATGAATGATTTCCCAAATATTTTCCTATTATATTACTAGTATATTTTGAGTAATAATTAATCTATATAAATGCACTACCAATGTCCAATAATGCACATCTTCCATAGCATAGTCATTGCAGAGCATTACAACAACACACGTTCTTCACAAGTGTTTGCCTATGCGCATATTCAACTAGGTAAGCCTGGCCTCTCAGTCCCAATTTATAGCAAATCCTGAGTCTCTATAAATGGAGCTAGAAGCTTGTGTTTCTTCACTCTGACCAGTTCACAGAAGCTCATCTGTTGGCTGAAGGGCTCAACGAGAAGTATGCGGATTGTGACCAAGACGCCCACAGACCAGCTATGGCCCGACCACCATTTCCATTTGCTATGGAGAAATCACAGTGAAAATGTCTGTAAAATAACTCTGTGTGTATCTTAAATAGCTATTTTCCCCTGAAAAAGTCATTAAATTATCTCCGATTGGAAATACAAGAAGACAAGATTGATAATCACAGATGGTAACCAATGTCACAAATCCATGAGATCTAAATTTCAAACAAGAGACCTCCGGATGACAGAGCAGGACATATTGGCTGCCTGGACAGCATGTTTAGTACATGTGTAAATCATTTTAGGCTATACAGATTTTTATTTTTTATTACACACTTTCATTATGTGTATCTAACATGATATATTGAATGAAATATAGTGAAATTGAAAAGTATAATTAGTCCCCCCCATACAAACTATATTTTTAGCATAACAATTTTTAAACAGCTTGTGCTTTGGTGGAAGACCTTTTGTACAAAGAGGCTCATTTGGTCTAATGAATGTCACTAATGAAAATTTAAATAAAATAAATCGTAAATTATTCATTTAATGTTGTAATATTTAAATCCCATAAGGATCCCATACCCCACCGGATAATGTGCATCAACATCCTATTAACCATACATAGTTCATGAAGAAAAATGGGACTCCATTAAATTTTAAACCTCTCTGTACTCTGTTGTAAAGTGAAAAATTCTGTGAGCTTCTGCCCTTGCATAGCAGTGCCAAGTGTGAGGGCATGATATTGTTGTGACATAAAACAAATGGCAGCATTATGCTTATGTCCAGCATTGAGAGAGGATGCCAAGAGTTGATGGAATCATTGGCAGCCCATCACTAAGGCATTAGCATCGCCGTGTTTACCCGCCAGAAGGAACAATTAGGACAGGCCTCCGGGACACTGAGATCAGATATACCAAGGACAAAGTGCATAGAGCAGTGCTTAATGCATATTATTAAATCTTATCGAAAAATGTTTATTGAAACTTTGCACATTAGCACACAACACCACCAAAGAATTTACATTTAAGAAAATTGTTTGTTTAATTAAAAATGAATCTTTTAGGGGAACTTGTTTGAGTGATTAATCAAATATATTTCCAAGAAAACCCTGCAATCTCTCATTAAAGCCGGTAAGCAATCACAATAACTATTCTTCACGGCTCCAATGACCCGAGCACAGAGATGCAGGAGGGAGGCAGCTGCGGTTACCAGCGGACATGTGTGACATCAACACCTTCCGGTGGCCACATTGATGAAGGATCTTGGATCCCTTGGTATAAATCAAGGACACATGACTGGCAGGCAGTGCGACATATGGCTAAACATAAGTGTTTGTCTATGAGATGTGTACAGAACATAGAGGGTTGTGTTACAGAATCACAACTTTACTGGTGGAGCACTGTTCCTGAGTGCTGCCACAGACCGAATGCACAATGGAGTCTTTGTAGCGTAATTCAAGCTGATTTGTTTTTCACAGTTGTTATTCTTTGGCTCAGAAACCCTTGATTTTTAGTTCATCTGTATGCACAGCACTCTTTATTGTCCCTTTAACTGTTTTTGGTTAGACATGGCAGAAGATACATACACATTGGCCAAACACATATCCACTGCCACTAAAAGCAGTCATCACACTTTTACAGTGCATAATCTCATTCTGTACACAAAAAGGGTTGGTTCTAAACTGAATGTGTACAAAACCTATGGATGCATGTTTCTTATTAAGCATAAAAAATAAAAAGTGAATTGCAAAATAAGGTTTAAGAAATTGTTATGAATATAAAGTTGCAGTTGACAGAAAAAGATATAACCACGTAAAACCAAACTGAACAATTAAAGGCCCGTTCACACCAAGGACGATAACTATAAAGAGAACTATATTAGCCTCCACACCAAATGCACAACAACTTTGTTAATTAAAAGTGAGCACTGCAGTTCTGTTGTCTGCCGCTTTAAATAGGCTACAGGATTTGGTTGTCATTGGCTAGCAAAAAAATAGTTCTGAATGCGATTTCAACGTTATCCTTCCAATGTGTCATTACCGTTATAGCTATATGTACGGTTACTTCCTGGTTTTAGATAAGCCAGCTCGGTCATTTCCGGTCAACTGTCAAAATCAACTGTGCTACAAGTGAAGTGCAATTTGCTCGGTTTCTCTACATAATCCATTCACAATATGAAGAAAAGTATTGTTTGTCTAACCAAATGTCCACATACTGTTTCAGGAATGAAAGACGCGAGTGTAAAAAATTACACGAGTGAATCCACTAAATTGTTCTGAAAGTCATTGCTATGATTGATAGTAATAACTGTAGTACAAAACACCTGACAGGCTAATGTCAAAAATAGACCTGTGCATTAAGTGATTCGGAGTAAATAAATTGCTACAATAGTTGAATGCACTATTATATAATTATTCTAACATTAATAATTAACTTATTTAATCTGTAGTTAACTAGTTAAGTATTTAAATAATTAACATTTCTAGGCTGTTGGTGTCTGGGCTTATTTATTTATTTATTAAACATGACGCATTGTGACTTCCTGCACTTGCTATACTTTATACTTCAGTACAGTAAAAGTACCAAAAATGTGTTACAATAGTTGTTTTATAATAAACCCCAAAGTGAGACATGACTAAATCTAGGGAGTTGAAATGGCTATTGATCTAATGAGTGATCCTCTGCTCTCATCTACTGGTTATAATGGTAATTTCATGTAATTTTTTTTTCAGCCCGGAGACACATTTTTTGGCACTTTTTTTTCCGTCATCTTCATGAATGAAAAGTGAATCCTTAAAGTGAATTTTACTGCACAGCTGTAACTAATCTCACTCCAGCCAGGCAACCAAAGTTGGCAACCCTGTGTATATCCAGTTATATTCATGAATATGAAGGCAAGTTATCGATTATCAAGAATATCATTATGATGTCCTTTATTATTAGATAGCATGCTAGCTAGCTAATATTAGTTTAAACAGTTACGATAGTGTTTAGTTGTCAGTATTTAAATGTACAATTACGTGTCTAGGTACTCTCCTGGGATTACTGGGATTGCTGTCATTATTTAGGGTGTTGGAATTATTTAGTTTCTCAGTTTCTGAAAAGAACGAGGCAGGAGAGGTTTGTGTGATGGGGCTCCAGAGTCTCTATATATCACAAAATCAAATAACATTTCACCGGAAGTTTACAAGCTGGATTATCTCCATGCGGAAGTTCTTAAATCGCATGGCATCGCATCGCAAAGGGAAAATTGCCAGTTCGTGTTGAAAATTAA